CATGGACCGATGGCTGATATCTTTTCGCAATTCATTCCTTCTAAGTGGTTTTAGTGAGCTAAAGTAAGTTTTGACTGTGAATCCTCATGTTCTTTGAAACAAAATTTAGTCTAATTTACTGTCCCTTTTTTTAAAAAGCACCAAATTTTCCTCTTCTACTGCGGTCCTTATGTTTCACAATGTGGAGTACAGATATAACCTCAACTTCTTTCCCGAGACACATGCATCTATATCCTGTATTATTTTCTTATCCTCTTAGGAATAAATTAATTTAATACTTTAAATCATTTAATCTAATTAAAAAAGATTAAGTCCATTGACCTATTGATTGCTGGAACGGTGTTTCGTCGCTTGATTCTTAATGGGCCAATGGCCCAAATCTTTTGTCCATTCATTTTTAATACATGGTTTTTATGAGTTAAAATGACTTGAACTATAACTTTTGACTTTTTCCCCTAATATTACATATGACAAAGAAGCAGTTGATTTGTAATATGTATCATAGGAAAATTTTGCAGACTTTTCTGTGAAAACGGTTAATATATAAAAGTATTTCATTTACTCTCATATCAAAACTGCACCCATTTAAGTAATTTGACATTAATATTAAAATATTTGAATCAATGATCTAAACATTTATATAGAAATTAAACTTTTACGAAATATGGAGTGGGTCCCTTTTCTTTTGAAAACTTGCATGGTCATCAAATTTCGTTTCGCATTTCACTGAAGTCACACTTCAGTTGATGAATCATGAAAAAAGAACTGACTTTTATTGCAACCCCGGTAAATGGAAAATATGTTTGAAACCCTGTTTGTGTCTAGTGAAATGCATATGCATATATGCATTTATATGAATATGATTGTTTTACTATTTGTATTTAGAAATACAGTGTAAAATTTATTAGTAAAGGTTGAAAGCATTCCTCATGCATATTCAAAAATACTCCATTGAGATTATGCTGACCCAAATACAACAAATAAAACGAGAGGAAAACGCAACAAAAACATTTTAAAATAGAAAATATATATTAAATATGTACTTTAAAGTAAGCAAACAGAATGAGATAAAGGATAATGCAGAAAGGAAAACATAAATTCAAATTAAAATGTCATTTAATATTGAAGAATTATTCGTCCCATTCTTCTCAAGAAGTTGGCGCAGAATTGTATTAGCAAGGACCTTTGGGACCATTTCAGTTACTACAACAATTGCATTAATTTCTTTTATGAATCAATCAATTCTCTATGCAAATTCGAATTTAACACAAATCAATTTTCACAATTTTCATGTAAAATATTAATTTAATAATTTATTTATTTTATTTATATTGTATCTGAAAGTGGAACAAAATGTAAGCCAATGAAAAACAAATTGCATTTTATGTATAATAAATTAATAAATAAATTGAAAAAAAATTTAAGTGTTATATACTTGTATCAAAGTATCTTTACTTCACGAAGGGCGTCTCAGCGGGCAAATTCAAATTAAGTCTGGCGTCCGACAAGGTTGCATTCTTTCACCTATACTATTTAATATAGTCTTAGATGTGGTTATGTCGGAAGCTATGAGCACAAATCATGGCATCTCATTCGGCCTTTAAAACAAACTTACTGACCTCGATTACGCTGATGACATCTGTTTACTAACACATAACTTTTCCCAGATGCAAATATCGTTAAACAACATCGTAAAGCGTGCACTGGCAGCTGGTCTGTCAATCAATATCACCAAAACCAAGTCTATGCGTCTCAATTCAAACTGCTCAACGAAGTTTCAACTAGATGACTCCTACATCGAAGAAGTACAAAGTTTCTGCTATCTGGGAAGCTACATTTCGAACAACGGCGGCAGTCGGCAAGACATTCAGCACATGCTATCGAAAGCGAAGCAAGCGTTTGGAACCCTTAACAAAATCTGGCGTTCATCCAACATTACACAACGCACTAAGATACACCTGTACAATGCAAACGTAAAATCAACTTTACTATATGGTAGTGAGAGTTGGAACCTAACGGCAAGAGACGCACAACAGCTACAAGCCTTTGTCAATCACTGTCTACGACGCATCCTTCATGTATTCTGGCCAGCAACCATAACCAATAATGAGCTCGGGTTTAGAACGAATCAGCCTCTTATAACTGATGAAATAATGATGCGCAAATACAAATGGCTTGGCCATACGTTAAGAAAACCCGCTGATGATATCGCAAGAAATGTCTTAGATTTCAACCCTCAAGGCAGTAGAAGACCAGGGCGTCCGCGCAATACTTGGAAACGACAAACTGAAGCCGAATTAAGAAATGCTGGAAAGAGCTGGAGTGAAACAAAACGTCTTGCATTAGATAGAGTTCAATGGAAACTATTTGTTACGACCCTCTGTTCCACCTAGGAATAAAAGGATTAAATATAATATCAAAGTATCTTGGGAGAACATAAAATCGGCTTTAGAAATAAAAATATTACTTAAGTGAAATATATTACAATTCGTTGGGTTCAAATCAAACTAAGATCTGGTCTAAAAACATGTTTTTTGTATTTTAAATTATTCATATATTATATATTACTTTTTATTATATATATTCCTAAAGTAAAACAAAAGTGGTCCCAGGAAGGTCTCCCTGATTAAAATGTATGATGTTTTAGTCGATAAGAGTCCGACAAACCTGTGTCATGACGATGGTACTGCTAGGCCAAGATGGGTTTCAAGCCTCACCGCAAAAGAAAAAAAATAAATAAATAATATTATTATAGAAGGGTTTTCGAATAACAAAGAAAGAAATAAAGGACAAACACAAAAATTTATTTTTTAATTTTATTGAAATTTGGCTGACCATACAACGCTGTTTCGAGTATTGCCAAGTAGTCTTCATCAGTGGTCTTTGGGAATAATCGAATTTTATTTAATTAGTTTATAGTCCGTATATAATTTGTTTGGACTGCAAAGTGCCAGGCTTAGAACTCGTGCCTGTCAAATTAGAAGCGATGACTAATCGTGTTTATCCACAAGAAGCCAAGGCTGCACAAACTTTCAATGCTTTGTCCCTATACAAAGTAAGTCTAGCTTAACAGCAATACTAATACTTTATTCAAATATTAGACTTGTGAAAAGTAAAGAACAATAGGTTAAAATATAATATTGTTCAGCTTTTCCTAACCGCAATAAGCGGATTTGTAGAATAACATAGCATAGCTTCTTTGTAAAAAGCACCAGAATGGTCGCTTTACATATAGTAAGTAAAAAAATATGCAGTACAATATGTCTCTACAAAAAGAGTAGCTTTGAAAAGAAATAAAGAATAAGGCAAACCCAAAAAGTTAAACTTTCAATTCGTTGAATTTGTGTTTCCAAAATAAAGCTGTAGTTTATAAGCTCGTTCTAATTTAAAGCACGGCAAGTGCTTTGGTTGTTGTCACTAATTAAATTAAAATAAGTGACAATAAAACCTGGAACTTGAGCATTGAAAGTTTGTGCAGCCTTGGCTTTTTGTGGATAAACACTATTAGTCATCGCTTCTAATTTGACAGGCACGAGTTCTAAGCCTGGCACTTGCAGTCTAAACAAATTATATACGGACTATAAACTAATTGAATAAAATTCGATTATTCCCAAAGACCACTGATGAAGAGTACTTGGCAATACTCGAAACAGCGTTGTATGGTCAGCCAAATTTCAATAAAATTAAAAAATAAATTTTTGTGTTTGTCCTTTATTTCTTTCTTTGTTATTCGAAAACCCTTCTAAAAATTTAATAAAGCTTCTTTGTCCCTATACAAAGTAAGTCTAGCTTAACAGCAACACTAATACTTTATTCTAATATTATTATATATATTATTATTATATATATATATATATATTATTGCATCCCAGTGTCGAAAATGGTGCGTCTAGTGAAACACAAAAATCTACATAGATGACCTCCAAGAAAATTAAAGTTAAAGAAGATCATACTGCAAACTGTAAACCTTGTAGCATTCATGCGACCCTTTTTAATGAATTCCCAAGAGCTGGTCTTATTATAAGATAGACAAGTTAACCGGAAATTTACATATGACCTAAGTGTCTTCCATTTATTATTCATAGCTAAAGGAAAGTAGAAGTGAATACTACTCGTTACTATATCTAGACGAACATAGGCCGGTATCTAAATTTTCATTCCTTTCCTTTCCTATATTTAGGAACCCTTAATGAGTGTGATGTCAGGTAACCGATTTAGCTCGTCAACTGCCTCTCAACATTCTTCAACTAGCTTTGACTTCAAGATGGAAGACTGAAAAGCTTTGATTGCCACTTGGTTGTCAATAAAAATAGCAACGCTACAACTGTCCTTGATGTAAATTGCAATGACCTGTCGTGCTTCCCTTATCTTTAAACTTCAGCCTGTAGACCTTATCTCTAAATTTTAGCCTAAAAACCTTATCACTAACGCTTAAGCCTGAAAAACCGCCTCATTAGTTAGCCTTCCTTGGTTCATATCTATAAATAGGGCGAATATTCTTGTTCCTACCCCGTAATATATTTTTGAGCCGTCTGTAAAAATTGATACATTATAGTGTCTAAAAATTTCTTTGTATGTATTAAATTCGATATAAATATAGAATATAATCATGGACTACATTACAATTAGCACAAACATTAAGTTTTTATAGAAGCAATTATCTTTTTAAGGTTAGTGTAGGATTGAAAAGCATTTATTCCTGTAAACTCTATAAAATATAAAGTGAAATATCTGCATATCTTATTACTCATGTTTTAAAATTGGGAATGGGTACAGTACTTTCATTTAACATTAAATAACGCAATTGATATCTGAAATCTTGGATGCAATGATTTTTATTGGTGTATAGTACCTCTAAATCTGCAAATTTTATGAAATGTAGAGTGAAGCGGTCACACGTCGTATCTGCGCGAGTTTCACTGTTGTCAAAGAATTGGGTTAGTACTTCCATTAAACTTTCACTCAACCGATTGAAGTCTGAAACGTTGAATATAAAAAAAATGTTGATATTATTAAATTTATTTATGGTTTGGCTTAGAAAACTTACTCTAGGAATAGCATAAAAAAGCCAAAGGTGTCATTGTACATTAATGCTGCTTCTGACAACAATACTCTACTACTATCTTATTCTTTATTTACGAGTCCATTCCAAAAAAAGTAACAAATAAATTTTTGCGATAGTTGAAGCGCTAACCAATGGAATGAACTATATACTAAAAACAGATTATAATAATGCATGGAGAACAGATTTTACGAATCGGTAAGTTCGACAGTAAGTGTGGTGTGATTATACTTACTGTCAAAATCAAAAAAGCTAAACGTAGATAAATAGATAAATTTATGTAATCATTTACTGACTAGTACGAATCGAACTAATTGATTAAAGTTAATTCTAATAGTCAAAAAAGATATACAGTCAAAGTTCCATAACTCGAACTTCTATAACTCGAACCAAAAACAGTGCACTAAGGTTTTAGAGTTCTTCCATAACTCGAACTTCTATAACTCGAATTTCTCTATAACTCTATAAGTCGAATTTTTGTGTTAAGTATAAATGCATTTTGCTGTTAGGGGAAGTCCTTTTTTCCAAACCAAATGTTTAATTTTTTTCTTTCTTATGTTGCTTCTTTGTGCAAATGCCAGTCGCTGGCAGCGTGGTTTAAAGTAAATAAAATAACTTCCAATGCTGCTCTTAACGATTATATTGAGCTTGACAATGAAATTTGTACATGAAGCTCTCCTACAGATAACGATATTATTGAGAACTATAGCTCTAAATTACTGGATCCAATTCTAAGCGCAACCGAAACTGATGATGAGGGTTTCGTGGATGTAATTGTTTATCAGCCTTCCAAGAATGAAGTAGAAGACTCATTCAAAATTCAGAATTTATATTTGCAAACGAAAGATACTACAATTGATGATCACTATAAGGCCTTAAATAAAATGGAATGTATTTTTACTGAAAATAACAAAAAAAAATTAAAATCCCAAAACTAATTTCTAATTATTTTACTTCACTATAAGTTCTGTGCTGTATTTGATTTAAATAAATAAATAAATGTCTTAAAATATAATTCTAGTTTCTTTCAAAAATAAAAATAAAAAAAAAAAAATTCTCTAACTCGAAGTTTACATAAGTCGAACCTCTTTGCAAAATTGAACTTCGAGTTATGGAGGTTTGACTGTATTTACATAGATAAAGAGGTATTGATAAATTAATAGATAAATTTATCTAAGTACTATTTCTGTACAGAATACATTTTACTGTTTAGTTCGCACCAGTTTGTGCTAATTGTCAAAACTTAATTCTAACAATCAAAAAAAAATTTTTAGATAGATAAACATATATTGATAGATAAAATGATAATTTTATCTAAGTATTCTTTCCATGTTTACCTTCCATATCCTTAAAATCGGAACAAAATCTAACTTGCATACACGTAGTATTTGAGTAAATCTTGCTTGGCATTCACATTTTCACCATAAAATACATAATTTTATTAACAGCTAATTTGTTAAACAGATTAAAAATTCCCGAAATGCCCGAAATCTCCCTTCACACCCGCTCTCAACAATTTTGAACTTCAATTAATTAAACTGAAATGCAATTAACAAATCACACATTGCCATGCCGACAATAGATACGGGAGAGAACAATGTACCGAGGGCAGCTCGCACTGAAGTGGCCAAGCTGCTTAATTAAAGATTTCATTGCGCTGCACTTCGCTCGCTGCTGCTTTATTAGACGAAGTTGGTAGGAAAGCACGGCATGTATACAAAAATACACGCGTACCTTTCAGCAGCTTTGGTATAATTTATGCAACAACACTTTTTCCTTTCGTTCCTGCTGTTGCCAAAGAATATTTTGTAATAAACAAAAATGCAACTCTTAGCGCTTTTGATATGCAATAAGTGTTCTGGGCTGCGATTTATTGTTTATTTACACTGTAAAACATTAAGAAAAACAATATTTAACAGATAACAAATAAACGCCAATAGTTAAACGCCAATAGTGTGAAATTCAACATGCAAGAGAAAAGTTTTTTAAGCAACAAACAACAACAACAACAACAAACAATATCAATTCGCAGCAATGCCACTTCACTTATACGAATAAAATAAACTAAAACCGGCAACATCCAAAACAATGGCGCAGTCATT